ATTGAGGTGGAAAAAAGTTGACAACTATTGCTCACCACTCTCATTTATTCTTATAGTTATCATACTTACTTACACCTACGTAATGTTTCCCTAATTCAATTTTTTCTATAATTTTCCCCTCTTTCCTGACCCAGTCCATATTTCTAGAGGCATAATGAACATTTATATTTTTTTCAGACATTTCCAACCTGACATGATCTAACTTTGACATCAACTTTCCCACCTAAAACACCTTCTCTATCTTTTGAATGGCCCAAGAAATCTCCATTGCCCAGATTAGAAAAAGTGGTGCCATCTTCTTCATTTCCTTTATCCAGGTAGTGATCATCATTTAGACCGTGACATCAAAGAGAAGGGGCAAAGAATTTCCCATCCAAAAGAGCTATCCTTATCAATTCTTCCTGCTACACTCACTACAGTCTTACCTCTCATCTAATCTCAAGCAAAAAGACCCCTTTCACCATGTCATTCCTCTGTCTAGTAATTTATAACAACTCCCTAATATCAGCTATATACATTGAGTGGCCAGATTATTATGACCACCTGACGTTTGTAGGCAAATTAGCTATAATTTCGCGCTGAAGTTGCTAGAGGGCCAGACCATTATAAATAGGGAAGCAGGTTGTTTACCACAACAGAAGTGATTTTTTTCTGAAGATATGGGTAAACAATGCGATTTAACAGCCTTTGAACATGGGATATCTCTATATATAAAAGCCTAAGCGACCGAACGACCAATCGACAGGTTGCTATGACTGGCACTGACCACCAGGGGACAGATGCCCAAGGCACAGGATCGGGCTCCCTCCTGTCTGGATTGGGCCTGTGGGGATCGGGCTGAACCCGGCTCTCCAACATCCCCCAAGGGATCCTGGATTGCAAGAGGGTGCAGGCCAGGCTGAGGGACCCCACCAGTGCATGAATCCGTGCAATGTGGAGAGGTTGAAGGAAACGTAAAATTTTCATGCCTAAAATTTCACTAATTGATCCTCAAAAACAAACTCCAACACCTTCTATCTATAATAATAAAAGCATAATATGCAAATCGACCAAACTACTTAACAGCAGAACGACCATCTAGATGACCATCTAGATGACCTTCCGGACGACCACACTATGACACACATTGGTGCCAGGCCAGCCAAGGTGGGTGTGATGCCATTGGTCTGGGGTCGGAGGGCCCTGCCATCCCCCACAATCGCCCCACAGAGGAAGGCCCAGGCCACCCTCTGCCCAAAGATCAATCAAGGAGCCCTGGTCAGGTGGGCAGGGCCTCCCTGTGGGCAGTGATCAATCGCCTCAAAGAGGGAGGCCCAGGCTACCCGACTGGCAGCTGCACTGTGGCGGGTGGGTAGGGCCTCCCTTTGTGGGACGATTGATCTGGGCCCCTCCGGCCCCCCCATAGATCGCCCACAAATGGAGGCCCAGGCCAGTCAAGCGATCGCACCCTATGCCTGTCACCATAGAGGGAGGCTACCGGTGGCAGGGGACGGGGGCAGCATCCCACAGATGGCAAGCAGTGGCAGCAACGGGGGCGGGGCTATCTGCTGGCAACTGGGGGAAGTAAAGCCCAAATAGGCCAGGCCTAAGGACCCTACCAGAGGGGTCCCGGATTGTGAGAGGGTGCAGGCCAGGCTGATCCCCCCGTGCACAAATTTTGTGCATCGGGTCTCTAGTATATATATATATATACCATAGAAAGTTTAAACACACCCAGTGATGGTGATGGTCCTCTGAAATCTGAAACCTACCTTCATACCCTATTTACTATTTTTCTTTACTATAGCATTTTGGTCTTAGAACCCTCTACAGTCCTAAAATTTTTGAGGTCCTCAAAGAACTATATGGGTTACATCTATCAATACTTACCATACTGAAAATGAAAACTGAGAAAAGTTTTAAACACAATACACAAGCACACATTCTACTAACTGTCAGAGCAATGTCATCACACATCATGCAGGCTGGAAAACTCCACTGACACTTGTGAATGAGAATGAAAAGGCAAATAGCATCTTAGTATTATTATTAAAATATTTTTTGCCTCTAGAACCCCTGGCTCACTTTAAGAACACTGCTCTATCTAACCTTAATTCTTTTAACCTGTCTCCCTATCAACCATTGAGAATTACTGATTTGTAACTTTTGTGTGCAGTAATAGCCTAGTCAGCGGTTCTCAACCTGTGGGTCGCGACCCCTTTGGTGGTTGAACGACCCTTTCACAGGTGTCGCCTAAGACCATCCTGCATATCAGATATTTACAGTATGATTCATAACAGTAGCAACATTACAGTTATGAAGTAGCAACGAAAATAATTTTATGGTTGGGTCACAACATGAGGAACTGTATTTAAAGGGCCAGAAGGTTGAGAACCACTGGCCTAGAGGCAGAGAGAAGACTAAGAACCAAAGGTTTATAAAATAATCTTCAAATTCATTAACGTGCCTGCAATTTAATTTTATTTCCTGCTATTGCATTTTTCCCCTCCTCCACCGTACTCCCCAAATAGAACAAACCTTTCTCTGCTTCAGTATCTTTGAATACAATATTCCCTCTGTGTGGAAGACCTTCTCTCACTCATCCTTCGGACCCAATTCACAGGTTATCACTTCTTTGAAGCTTTCTATTAACACATCCCATTCCCAATTACCCCTTTTTCTTTAATTCCATAGCATATTTAGAACTTCTCACAATGCACCGTAATTACTGTTCATAAGTCTGTCTCTCCACTAATAGAGACTTATATGAGAGCAGACTTGCATCTTTTTTTTATTTTTATTTTTGGTTAATCCTCACCCGGGGATATTTTTCCATTGATTTTTAGGGAGAGTGGAAGAGAGAGGGGAAGACAGAGAGAAACACTGATGTGAGAGAAACACATAGATTGGTTGCCTCCTGCATGAGCCCTGACCAGGAGCTGGGCCCAGGAGGAGCCTGCAACCCTTGTATGTGCCCCTGACCAGAATCAAGCCCAGGACCCTATGGTCCACAGGCCGACACTCTATCCACTGAGCCAAACCAGCTAGGGCCAGACTTGCGTCGTATTGGTCTTTCTATTTCTAGTACCTCTCATAGTGGGAACCCAAACATTTGATCATTCACTTGAAATCATGTCTTTCAGAGTCAGTTCAGCCTGGCCAGTGTGGCTCAGTGGTTGAGCATCGACCTATGAAGCAGGAGGTCATGGTTCGATTCCTGGTTAGGCACATAACCAAGTTGGGTTGTGGGCTTGATCCCCAGTGGGGGTTTGTGCAGGAAGTAGCCAATCAATGATTCTCTCTCATTATTGATGTTTCTATCTCTCTCTCCCTCTCTGAAATCAATTAAAAATACATTTAAAAGAGTCAGTTCAATGCTCATCTATCCCCAAATATTCCATAGTATTTTTTTCCTTCCTCTGAACTTTTGCAGTACTACATAGAAATTAAGGGAAAAAAATGAAGTTTAAAGGAAACTGTTATAACCTTCCTACAAAAAGACTGGGAATTCCGGACCACAGGATCAAGTCCAATTCCCTACTCTGCATCAAGGGCCTGCATCAAGTGGCTCTTCTTTACCTTTCAATTTTATTTTCTATTATTCTCCAATATGAACTGACCACCCCTGTCATCCAACACACTCTCTCTCTCTCTCTCTCTCTCTCTCTCTCTCCATTCTATTTTTTCCCCATGTGTTTACACTCTTCTCTTTCCCAGGAATTCCATTTCCTTGTTAAATTCTACTTTTCCTTAAAAGCTTGGTTCAAGACCCAAAGATTCCAGGAAGCTCTCTGGGACTATGCCAGACCATAGGAAAATTTCCCCTTTTGAGATATCCAATGTATTTCAATCTGTTTCCTATAACCTAGTATTTATAGTGTATGGTCTTGCATTGCTCTTTGATAATTTCAAGTAAGTCAATGCTGCAACCCCAATACCTTTAAGAGCAGGCACAGTTTTCATTTAAAACATTCAAGTGCCAGGATGTACCAGATACTGGTAAGATTTCTATTCTTATTTCTTTTGCATCAAACCTTTCTAGTAACAGGGAGACGAAGGCATATAATAAATACCATAGTATTTATTCCCTTAACTTGATTTACGCCTTAACTGGCCAGAACACCCCAGGTTATTTTTTTCTAGGGAACATGTTATCTAGACATAATTATCAATTTGAAAATAAAATATGCTGAGATGTATCTTCTCAGCACCTTAAAACTGCAAGCTCAGATATGATACTCTATTTATAGGTAACTCACTCTGAGTCTTCAATATGCTTACTTTTGAAGGTCCTCCCTTTTATGTTCCTTTACCTTGAATATACCTTTTCTTATTTTAGTTGTTACAATTTTAGCTCCCTTAACACATTCTGATGCATGGTTACTGGGGATAATGCCAAACTATTTAAGAAGAGCCAAAGAGGAGGCAAGTAAAAATCATGCATAAATTTAAAATATAATCTTTGAAAACCAAGAAGTTGTGGCAATTGGGTCTCAGACCAATACTTTTCCTTAAATGGAATTTAAGGGGCCACATCTTCCCTATCACCATTTCCTTTGAGTATCCACACCCAAATGGAACAAGCATTAGTTGGAAAATAGACTGAACATAACCATTAGAACTTGGTCCCTGACATCATGGATTGATAATAACTTCTGAAAACCATTTTCCCCTATTATTTGCTCTTTTACATATGTGATAAAGTCAGTAAGAAGAAATAAATAAAAAATATAGTTTAAAAATAATCGTAGGACTTAGGATGTTCTAAGCCCTGGTTTTTTGTGAGCATATCAATCACAACTGAATGTTAAATTCCTATTTAAGTGAGACCTGAGGTTCCCAGCAATTCTTCCTGATAGACGTATAATTCGGAGGCCCCGAATGAATCTCATGTAAATAAGAAAAGGGAACTGATGAATGAGGAAAGAAAGGAGGAAGCCATTCGCTGATCTGCAGCATCTCCCCTACCCCGTTTCCCTCCTCCCCAAAAGCTGTAGGAAATAGGAAGCTACAGCATGTACCTTCCAGGCCAGAAGCAAAACATTGAGGATGGCCAGCAAAGGGCAGGGTCCGTTCTCATTCTGGGTGATGATGGGTGTGTGCTCTTCCTTCCACTGGATCCACTTGATGTGATAGACAGATTGTCCCGGGAAGCGTTCCTTGGAGGCCGCGAGCACCTGAGCTGCCTCCCCCTCCTCCTCCTCCTCCCCTCTGCACAGGGGCACAGCCCCGGGCAACACCGCCGCGGCACCCCTCTTTCCCTCTCCCTCTCCTTCCTCCTCCTCCTCCGGGACCCTGCTCCTCAGCTCTTTCTCCATAATTAAATCCGAAGTTACTGGGAAAGAATGAAGGTAAAAGAACGATTCCGAAGTCCAGGCTCGGCGATTCCCCGGCAGGGGCTCGGGTCGCTGCAACTGCTGCTGAGGCCGCCCGGCGCTGCTGGGCTCCCTCGGAGCCCGAGGCCGCTACCTCGGGCTGGCAGGTGCCTGCGGGATCAGGCCCGGCGCCCGCGTCTCCGGCGGCACCCAACCCCTGGCCCGCTCCCCCCTCGGCCGTCTCCGGGGAGGCGGTCACCTTCGGCTGCCCTCTCAGAGGCACCTTCTGGGCA